TTAGAAAAAATTGCTCTGGCAGCTGTGTCGAGGTGACCGGGGGAGAGGAGACCCATAAGGAGGCTGGAGCCTGGGGTGCCTGGGTGGCTCAAGTTGTTCAGCATCTGCCTTTAGCTCAGGTCATGATCCTGGGGTCCTGGGATGGAGCTCCGCATCGGGCTCCCTGCTCCGCGGGAAGCCTGCTTCTCCCTCTCCCACTCCCCCTGCCTGTGTTCCCTCTCTCGCTGTGTCTCTCTCTGTCAAATAAATAAATAAAATCTTAAAAAAAAAAAAAAGGAGGCTGGAGCCAGGTGGGGGGAAGAGATGGCTCTTATAGGAAGGTAGACACATTTGGGAGGTAGTTCTGACCAGGCAGGGGATTGACTATATGGAACAAAGAGGAGCTGAGGAGGAATTATGCCCAAGATGCTGGCTCACTGGCTATGTGAGCTTGGGAGACTTAATTCTCTGGGTTTCAGCTTCTCATCCACATATGAGGATCATAACCCTCATAGGGTTATAGTGAGCATTAAATGAGCTAAAACATGTTCAGTGCTTAGGATATCCGGCACACAGAGCTCAATAAGTCCTAGCTGTTATTTTCACTTATTAATCACCCTCAGGAATATCACTATTATTTACTCCTCAACAAATATTTATTGAGCACATTCTATGTGTCCCATGTTGTTCTGAGGATTCAATAATGAACAAGAGCAACATGGGCCCAAGGTTCAGGAAGCTGACATGAGGTGGGAGCAGGGGAAGAAATCTGAGTAGTAAAAAATAAAATTTACATGAAAATCTCAGACGGTGATGAGTTATCTAAAGACCCAAAGAAGCCAGATGAATGAGACAGTCACTGGAGGTAGGTCGGTGACTTTCTGCAGGAGTCAGGGAAGGCCTCTGGGAGGGGAGAACACAGGAGAGTAGGTGTAGGTAGGGGTAAGCTGGTGGCTTCAACTTTGCAGAAGACTCAGACGAGAGGGCTGCAGGGAGTCACCTAGTCCTACCTCTCTCTTGGCCCAGCCGTGGGGGCTGAGCATCCTCTGGGACCCCTTCTGGTGGTCCAGCAGGTGACACAGGGCGGCTGGGCTGGGGGGTGCCCCCAGGGCTGGGCTCGGTGCCCTTTTGCAGAGAGCCTTCCGAATGGAAACTCTGGTTACTGTTCTCATCTGTGGGAGCAAAAGCCAAGAAGTTTGGGCCTGAAGGTCTCAATCCCCTCCTTCAATCCCCCAGCCCACACTGCCCCCCGAAATCCCAGGATTCCTACATACCATTGAGATCCAGCAGGATGAGAGGGCCGCCCCCTCGGGGACTGGCGCCCCTGCCCCGCCGTTCCCGGCCTCTGGATCTCTCTGCCCCGCCACCTGCCCTCCGTCGCTCCTGGGGGTTAGAGGGATAAGGGTCAGTGACAGTTTTCCAGTTAGTACTTACAAAGCCCCCACTGTACAAATAAGGAAACTAAGGCACAGAGAAGCAAAAGGCCCTGCATGAGGTGACAGAGGTTGGCACCACACCGTTGGGTTAGGTCTTGAACTCTGGGGTCTGAAGCAAGAAAAAGGGAGAAGGGGGTGGAGTTGCTAATAATTGTTAACATCTGCTGCATCTGAGGTCTCACAGTGGGACTGGAGGTGGAGGCCAGCGTTGGGAGGGGCTCGCCTGAGGTCGCACAGATGAAAGGCCTAGTGTGGGAGAGTTTGCTCACCTCCTCCTGGGGGTCCACCACTGGCACCCACTTGAAGATACGAAGGGAAGTGTCGCCCACAGTCACCCAGCGCTTCTCCCTGTGGGAGGGTGGGGGGGACTGGGTCAGAGTTCTGAGGAGAGAACCCCTCCAGGTGCTGAACACATCAGGGGAGACCTGTCGAAGTGGGGGTGGTGCGGTTTTGCTAATGGGGCATATGGTTAGAAGGAGAAAGAGAGTCCTGCAGACCGCAGGCCATACACAGGGGTGCCTCTGGGGAGTGAGTACGGCTTGGGGGGCCATGGCTCTGCAGACCCCTGGGGTATACAAGGGAGCAAGGCTGAGGGCCTGGCAGGGAACCATAGCAAAGAAGATCCTGGGCATACTTGAAGGAAGAGTGTCAAAGCTTTAGGGGGCGGGGCATAAATGAGGGTACGGCTTGGGAACACGCTTTGTAGACCCTAGGGTGTAACCAGAACGGGGACAGAGCCCTGCAGCTCCAGGGCGCAGCTGGGGGGCACACCTAACACCTGGGGGCCACGGCTGGCGAAGGGAGGAAAGACGCATTTGGGAGAGTGTGGTCCCGCCAGGTCCCATCCCTGGCCCCCCGGGCAGCGCTCACCATCTCCGGACCTTCTCGATGGTCGCCATCACCTTCTTGATGTCATCCTTGGCCCGGCTCCGGGTCTCGGCCCGCACGGTCCGGCCGGCCATGCTGGCGGGACTGGGGCCGAGGCCGAGCCCGCGGCTGGGCCGCCTCCCGTCCGGCGGGCTCAGGCTCGGCGCCAGAGCCGGGCGCCGCTGTCTCGGCCTGCCGTCCCTCCGGGAGTTGGCCGCGCCCTCCCTCGCTCCCCAACGCCTCCGCGAGTCCCCGCCCCGTTTCCTGCTGCCGCGCCCCGCCCCGGCCCGTCCCCGGAGCGGCCCGGCTGCGCGGGCGGCCAGAGCCCTTGCCTGGAAGCCGGCCAGCCCCGCCCCGACCGGGCCCGCCCCCTCGGGGCGCCCCGACCGCAGCGCCCCCTACCCGCCGCCAAGAGGGAGGGTTGGGGACAGCTTGGCGCCAGGACTCGCGCGGCTGGGCTGAGGAGGTGCGTTCAGACCACGTGGGCACGGGGAGGAGGAGGGGGGCGCGAGAGGGTCACTGTCCTGGCCAGCGTCCTCTGCGCGGGGGCGGGGGGCGGGGGGCGGCCCCGAATGCTGTGTGCAGGGTGTGTGTCCAGCCTCGCCTGGCTGTCACTCCCGCACTGTCCTGGTCTTCCTCCAGCCATTCATTCAGCGGTCTATTCACTGAGTGCCCATGACGGGCCAGACGCTGCAAATATGAGTAAGTCTCCACCCACCAGAATGGCTAAAATGAGAACGACAGACCATATCAAGTGTAGACAAAGAAGTAGAGCAACTAGACCTCTCATGTTTCTGGGGGAGTGGAAATGGGTAGAGACGCTTTGGAAAACTGGCAGTTTTCTAGAGGAGCTGAACTCACACGATCCAGCAATTCCACTCGTAGGTCATTAACACCCAATAGAAATGCGTGGGTATGAGCACCAAGAGATGTGTACTGGAATGTTCATAGCACTGTCGATAGTGGCCTCAAATTGGAAACGGCCCATCAAGAGGAGAGTGGAAATGAATTGTAGCCTGTTCATACAGTGCACAGAACAGAGAAGTGATGTCCTGCTACACAACAGGGACATGTCTCACGAAAGAAATCAGATACATCAGTACACACTGTATGATTCCTGTTATATGAAGTTCAAAAGAGACAAAACTAATTTGTGGTGTGAGAAGTCAGGATAGTGGTCACCCTTGGAAGAGGCTAAAAGGGAGCCCCTGGACCGCTCGTGTTCAGTTTCTTAATCTGGTATTCTGGTGCTGGTCTCCCCCCCCCCCAGTATATTTACTTTGAATATTCATCAAATTGCACACTTTCCCCTATGTATATTATACTTCAATTAAAAGTTTACGTAAAATGAGTGTGTTTTGGTTGAGTTTATTTGAATTTGTGTTTGCCGGCAGATAGGACATGTGTTACTATGTGTGTGTGTTTCAAGGGTTTGGCTCTTGTCCCTGTGATTTGGTATGATTATGTCCAGATGGGTTAAGGTATAGGAGGGGGATTATGACCGAATTTCTGGAGCCAAACTGCCCCTGGGAAAATCCCAGCTCTTCTTGTCCAGTGACCTTGGACAACTCACTTATCTCTATTCCCTCAACCATAACATGAAAGTAAGTTAATATGTAACTCCTGAAACAATGCCTTGCACATAGTAAATGCCCAATAAATATTCACCGTTAATTAAGTGTGTGATTGTGGCCCCTACCAACAGTCTGGCTCCAAGGGCACCTGCTATGCTCTCTTCCAGTTAATACCTTCCTTTATTCTGGCAGTTGTCTGCTCATGGTAATATCCTCACGGAAGGAACACAGGCCTCCTTCCCGGTCCCTTCACTCACAAACCCCATTACCTGCTGTTGGTTATGGTCGCCTCCATCAGACTGTGAGCTCCTCAGGGGGCCAGAGACCAAGTATGGATCGTCTCTGGGTCCCAGAGCCCAGGACAAGTAGGTGCTTGGGAATCACTTATGCGTATAAGTGCGTGCAGACCTTTCATCGTTTATCTGCACCAGGTCAGTGGGGTTGACATGTCGGTATGACCCCCTGTACCTGACTCTGAAGCTTGTTTCCAGATGAGAATGAAGGTCTACATGCAGTAGATCAGAGGGATTCTCGGACTGGGTAGGGTGAAGGGAGCTGCTGTTATCTATTCCCCGTGTAGTAGGTGTGCCGAGAGAGGGCGAGCAGAAAGTCTAAGATAGGCCAGGAGGTATTTGTCTGGGCAGGTGTGGCCCAAGCCTGAGGGCCCTGGCGAGGCCTCTCTCGCACCCAGCTTCCTCCTTCCCCCCCAGACAGGAGGGAGGACCAGCACATTCCTGTCTTGCCCGCTCCACCCTCTCTTATCCACCGCGCCCCCCTCCCAGCTTTCTCCGAAAAGAAGCTCGCTCACTAAGCCTCGCCCCAGGTCAGAGCCTGAGCCTCCTCCTCCCGGTGGTACCAGGGCTGCTTCCCAGACCCCGGCACACTCAACCTCAAGGTTTTGAGCCCACCACGCAGACAACCTGCCAACCCTCCTCAGGCCCCTTTCCTGACTGGGCAGCGCAAGTAAGGAGCTGAGCTCAGAGCCAAGGAATCCAGCCTGGGGCGGGCGGTGGCGGGGGGGGGGGGGTTGTTTGGGGTCTGAGCCCTGATTGGCTGCGCCCGGGCCACGCCCCTACCCCTTCCCCCCCTTTTCCCCCCCTCGGAAGGGGGGCGTGTAGGCAACCGGGATCAGCCAGGGGCCAGCATGAGCCGGAGGGAGGGAAGTCTGGGTAAGGGGCTGAAGGACTGGATGTCGAATGCCCGAGGGGAGCAGGGGTCAGAAGGGCTGGAAGCTGGGGTCTGGGTCCCCACCACCCCCGGGTCCGGGAAGGGAGCGGCCTGAGCTGGGGAGAGCAGGGCCCCGGTGTCAGGTAACGAGCGGGTGAGCTGTGGGTGAGCTGTGGGAAGGGACAAGCGCCAGAGTTTAGCGGAGGCCTGGGCTGTGACTTCAGGGATCTGGGCTCAGGGTTTAGATCACAGGTTCGAGTACACCCTGGGAGAGAGGACTGGGGTCGCAGCTGGGGCTGGACGCCTGAATCCTCTAAGTATTGGGAAAGAATCAGAACTGGGGACCAGAGGGAGGGATAGAGTTAGGGAAGGAAGTCTTTGGGCCTCAGGAGCTAATGAGTGACAACAGGAGACGAAAGTCGAGGCTGTTAAGGATAGAGGCAAGCGGTGGGAAACTCTGGCGCGGGGAAGTGGGGGCGGGGCGGGAGTTGCCGCGCCAGGACTACATTCCCCAGCATGCCTTGGCATGTGCGCTGGCATCTCGGGAAATGTAGTCGTCCTTCCGGGGCTCCACCCCCTAGTTTGCGCTAGGAAAGGTTAGTCATTGATGCTGCAGGTGTCCGTCCAGTCCAGCGTCTTGCACAGACTGTCCATCAGTTTCCCAATCTGTAGAATAGGTTTAAAGGAGCATTCCGTTTTGAAGTTCTGTGCTTCAGTGATGTTAAATTTCACCAACAATCAGTGATGCACGGGGATATGTGAAATCTTCCCTCAAAGGGTTCCCAGGCTAAGGCCGATTCACACAGATAAAAGAGCTGTTAAAAAAACAACCTTGGGAGTATGAACAAATGGCCTTAGGTAAAAGGAAAAGGTTAATTTAAGGGAGAGGAGAATCCGGAGGCCACACCGAGGAGGCAATATTTGAATTTGGCTTTAATAGGATTTAACAGTGATTTGGGGTCAGGGAATACATTTCAGATGGGACAACTGTTTGGCAAATGTCCGGTGCCTCGTTTACCATCAGTTGGAATGGGACAGAGGCTGCCTGGCTTAAAAGTTAGAGAATTCAGAGCAGAACTTGTGGATTCAGGAAGGAAGAGCCAGCCTGGAAGAAGTAGTCAAGGAGCAGCGGTCTGCGCTGCCCTCATTCCTCCCCCTTTTTCCCACCAGAAGATCCACAGGCTGACTCCTCAATCTCACCCCTTCCCCACTTGGAGGCCAAGATCCGTCAGACACACAGCCTTGCCCGCCTCCTCACCAAATATGCTGAGCAGCTGCTCCAGGAATATGTGAGTGGGAATGGGGTTGGGGGTGCCAGAGGCCTGAGGAATGGGGAAGTACAGATCACAGAGGTTCCTGACCACCCATTTTTCCAACCTCATTTCCCAGATACAAAAATTGGAGCAAACCGGAGGACTTTCCCTGTGCTCCAAATGCCCCTCGGTCTGCCTCAGCTTGGAGGTTCCCCCCACAGTGCATTAAGACAGAGGCTGAGGGGCGCCTGGGTGGCTCAGTCGTTAAGCGTCTGCTTTCGGCTCGGGTCGTGATCCCAGCATCCTGGAATCGAGCCCTGCATCCGGCTCCCTGCTCAGTGGGGAGCCTGCTTCTGCCTCTCCCGCACCACCTGTTTGTGTTCCCTGTCTTGCTGTCTCTCTGTCAAATAAATAAATAAAATCTTAAAAAAAAAAAAAAAAAGACAGAGGCTGAGAGAGTGAAAAGAATTCTGATCTGGGAGTCAGGAAACCTAGGTTCCAGGCTCTCTGTGATCTTGTCACCTCACTTCCATGGGCCTTGGTCTCCCCAGCTATAAAAGGAGACAGTTTAACAGATGAGTTGTGAACTCTTCTACCTGTGCTATGCAGAGAGCCCGAAAAGGGTTTCAGTCTGGGGCAAAAATTCCAGCCCAAGAGGGGACTTTAACAGAGGAGGGGATCTGCGAATATCTTTGGTTGGGCATAGGGCCTTGCCCAAGGAAGGAGGGTATTTCCATCAATTACTCTAGTGTAATGGAAGGAAGGTATAGGCCTGCTAACTTGCTGTGACCTTGGGCACTAATGGTAATATGAAAAAATAATGATGTAACAATTCTGAAAGTGGGGTAATAGAAAGAACTAGCTTTGTAGTGCTATGAACTTTGGTTCAAAATCCAGCTCTGTCCTTTCCCTAGGTGTATGACCTAGGGCAAGTCAGTTTACCTCGTCACGCTCCATATCCTCATTTGTAAAAATCATCATCATAATCATCACACCCATTTGGAAAGATTAGGAATAATGTGTTTAAAGCAGCAAACAGTGCCTGAACCAGAGACAAGATGTTAGCAAAGGATAAATGGTATTGTTGTAGCATTTTTACAAATTACAAATCTCCTTTAATTTTTTCGTTCATATAAGTTATTCATTGAGCCCCTGCTGTGTAGCAGACAGGTGCAGAGGTGGTGGAGGATGGGGGGAGAGAGTGAAACAGACCAGGTTTCTGCAGTATCTGTGTGATTCTCAGGCTGGGGAGCTGATCCCCCATTTTACAGATGAGAAGACTGAGACTTAGAGAAGGGAAATGGTTTTGCATGAAACTGCACAGCTAGCAAGTGGTGGAGACAGGACTGGCACCCCTGTCTGTAGGATAGCATTAATAAAATCGCTGACATTTATTGTGCCCCTCCGGTGGGCCGGGATTTGCCTGAACCATTTTAACATGCTCATAACTACTCTTACGAAGTTGATGCTGTTGTCTCCATTTTAGAGACGAGGAAACAGGCGCCGGTGTAAAGCCCACTTCGTCTGTGTGTGTGTGTGTGTGTGTTGGTAGTATCGCAAACGCAACAGCTGTGTCGGGAGGAATGCGTCATTTGCGAGGGGGTAAACTGAGGCCCTAGGGAGAGGAGGAGGAGCGGAGAGTGGAGGAGTTCCGTCGCGCCTCGCGGGTCCCCCCCGCCCCCCGCCCCTGACTGCCGTGTCTTCGCAGGTGCAGCACCAGGGAGACCCCTTCGGGCTGCCCGGCTTCTCGCCCCCGCGGCTGCCGGTGGCCGGCCTGAGCGCCCCGGCACCGGGCCACGCGGGCCTGCCCGCCCCCGAGCGGCTGCGGCTGGACGCGGCGGCGCTCAGCGCGCTGCCGCCGCTGCTCGACGTGGTGCGGCGCCACCAGGCCGAGCTGAACCCGCGCGCGCCGCGCCTGCTGCGGCGCCTGGAGGACGCGGCGCGCCAGGCCCGGGCCCTGGGCGCCGCGGTGGAGGCCGTGCTGGCGGCGCTGGGCGCCGAGACCCGCGGGTCCCCGGTCGAGCCCGCGGCCGCCGCCGCCGCCGCCGCCGCCGCCGCCGCCACCGACGCGGGCGTCTTCCCTGCCAAGGTGCTGGGGCTCCGCGTGTGCGGCCTCTACCGCGAGTGGGTGAGCCGAACCGAGGGCGACCTGGGCCAGCTGGTGCCCGGGGGCCCGGCCTGAGCGCGGGGCGCGGGCCTGCGGCTCGCTGTCATCCGCTCGGCGTCCGTCTCCGTCTCTCAGTCGGTGCCTCGGGAGCTCCGACCGTCTCCGTCTCTCTCCCTGCCTCTGTCGTCTCTCTGCTTTGTGTGCTCTCCGCGTCTCCCTGTCGGACCTCCGTGTGTTCGTGACTTCCCGTGTCCACGCTTTCTTGCTTTAACCCCTCTTCTCCGTCGCTTGGGCCCGCCTCCGTCTCTCTTGGCCTCCCCCTTCACCCATCTCTGCGGGGCCTCTTTGTCTCCCCTTTTCTCCATCTCTTGGCTCTGCTTGGCCCCATGTGAGCATGTGTACATCTCAGCCTCGTCTCAGGGAGGGGACACCTCATCAACTCTGGCCTTCCCTGGCCAGGGCGGGGCCTGCTAGCCCGGGTGGGAGGGCTCCTCCACACAGATTGCAGCCCCCTTTCCACAGGGTCACTCCCCCTGCTGCGCTCTCCCTCCCCCATCCCGGCCCTTTGGGTGGGCCCTGCTTGCTTCTCCCTTGGATGTCCTTCCCCTCCTTCATCTCCTCTGCTCTGTCCCTGCACCTCCCCTCCCCTCAAGCCAGGTCTATGGAGAGAAAAGATCAACACCTTAAAAGAGTTTATTTCTGAGAATAAATTAATTTTTTGTAAATAAAATGTTTAAAAATAAAAAAAAAAACACCAGAGTTACCAGTATATATAGTTGTTAAAAATGGGGAGACACCTTTGAGGAGACTAGACTCCTTGGGGCACAGCCTGGTCCCCCAGACAGACCCAAAGGCCACAGTATAAATAGGGAGTCGCAAATGCCCCCAGGCCAGGGATAACATCGGTCACTCTAGAACAGGAAGTGGATGTGCCCCGAGCTGGAAACATCTACGGGAGTCCTCCTTACTTTTTTCAACTGGACTTCTATTGATCAGGAAGTGAAGTCCCTCAAGATGGAAAGTTGGAACAGTGGCCCTAGTCAGGGAGGTAGACTAGGGGAGGCAATGAACTCCAGCAAGAAGGGAGGCCTCTCTGCGCAGAAAGCCCATAGCTTCCCACAGGAAGTGAGGTAGAGACAAGAAGGCAGCCCCTGGACCTCCCTAAACTTAAAGGAAGAGGAAGGTCTCAGGGAGAGCCCAGGAAAGAGACCAACTGTCCTCTCCCTGCAGAGTGGGAAGTAAAGCCTCTTCAAAAAGGCACTTCTTTCCACCCAGGATGTGGGCAACCAGGACCACTGGACTGAGACTCCACGAAATGATACCCACAGAGTCCCACCCGGATCTGGAAGGGAGGCCACAGGACCTAGGCAGGAAAGGCCCAGGCAATAGGGACTTGGGGCCTGGTTCCTAGGAAATATTCCCAAATATACACGCCCTGTCTGCTAGACAAGATGTGTCTCCTTTCTAGCCAAGAAGAAAGGCAGAAAAGAGTCCATTGGGAAAGAAGTGTTGCAGCCTCTGACAGGATGTCCTGCCTCCTCTATCCAGGGTATTTGGCCTTGAGCAGAGCCAAGTCCCTCACAGCTCGGTCTGTCCAGTGGCCATATTCCCGGGTCACTACGTAGCCTCGACATTTCCTCTCAAAGGCTGAGGCCCCGAAGGGAACAACGCCGAGAGTGTCCTCCTCTGGGGGGATGGGCAGGCCCAGAGCAGTCATGATTGCAGCCATGTTGCCCAGCAGGCCTTGGGCCCTGAGTCTTGCAGCCCCGATCTGGGCCAACAGCATAGGACTGCCAGGGTTCAGGTCTCTCTGGTCGTCCCGCACGAGCTGGAGGTGCTGGGTCAAGGCCAGGAAGGCCCCTTGGGCATGGCTCAGCCGCTCCCTGTCATCCAGGGCATGCCAGGTCTTGAAGGAGACGACGGCAGGAGGCAGGCTGCTGAGCTGAAGCTCAGGGGCTGAGAAGCCGGGGTCACTGAAGGGGCTGCCCTGGTACTGGAGCTGCATGAGAGACAGAGACAGACGGGAGTTCAGGGACTAAAGTGGTCCCCCGGGGCTCCCCCTGACTTCACATCTGACACAGAGCCTGGGCTCTGTGAGGTCGCAGTTTCATGTACAAGTTGTACAACTTTGAATGGCAGCTTCAACAATTCCCAGGCATCGGTAGTCTCGTGCAAATGATGAGAAGTAGTATATAGAAAGCACTTAGCGCAGCTCCTGGCATCCAATAAGGACATAATAAGCCACTGTTTATAATATCTTAATATCATGACACTGTGATTCTGTTATTTATTATACTATTTTCAGTCTAAATAATTGACAATGTAGTTAGAGTCTATATGGTTCTTTTTAATTCATAGCATTTAGTTGTTTGTGCTTATTTTATTAGAATCATTAATAAATAATTGTTAACATTATTAAATTTAGTTGAGTGCCTTCTCCATTAAAGTTCTCGCCTCCACAAACCTAGACCCACAGAATCTTGGTGCACACTGATGAATCCCCAAATTGATAGACCTCCTAGTCCTACATCCCTATTTCACAGGTGAAGAAACTGAGGCTTAGGGTGCCCAAAGCTACCCAGGGAATGGTGGCAGCTGTGAGACTAGAAACTAGATTTAGTAACTTCACATGGGCCTGGAATATAGTACAGTAAGCAGAGTCACAAACCCTGGCTAGGGGCCAGGCGGATCGTGTAACTTGGGGAAGAAGGCAGAACTAAGATGGGGTGAGGGGCTAGGAGGGCCCCTGTGCCTGTTTGAGACAGGCAGCCACGTTCAAAATTTGAACAAGTATTTCATGGCCCGAACAGAAAACATCTGTGGGTCAGGTTCAGCCAGCAGGCTGCTAGTTTGAGCTTCTAGACAGTGTGGGGGGTGGGGGAGGTGTCTAATGCCACAGACTTGGCTTAAGATCCTGGCACTGCCAGTGATTGAGCTGTGTGACCTTGAGCAAATTATTTACCCTCTCTGAGACTCAGTTTCCTTCTCTGGATTATAATTCCGTCCCTCAGAACTGTTTGAGGAGTCAGTGAGATAATGGGGATGAGTCCCTAGCACAGCCTAGGGCTCAGGTGAGCACCCAGCGCAGAGCGGTTGTGGAAATAATCACGAGCCTGCAAAGTCTTCCTCTGTTCGTGCTGCCTTTGAATCTTTTAACAGCCCTGAAAGGTGAGCAAAAGCAGGATCACAATTCCATTTTGCAGATGAGGGAGCTGACACGGAGAGAGAGAGAGAAGGAACGACTAGCCCAAGGGCACCAGCCATCAGTGGCACTGTCCGAGTGAGTCTCTAGTTGACAGAGCCCCGGAACCCTCAGACTCATGGAGGAAACTTCTCCTGGCCTTGCTGTGCTTCCCCTACCCAGGGCTGGGCCAGGAGGGCAGTGTCCCGCTGCCCTTGTGCCCTGCTCATGCCCAGTGTCACTCACATAAGTCTGCAGCAGCGTTGAGGTATTCTTCTGCATGTAGAGGGCCAGGCTGTAGGCTTGACTGATGGGCTCAGCTGGGGAGATGGGGGCCCCCGGACTGAGGGGTGGCAGCAGCAGGGTCAGCAGGCAGAGCGGGGCTGGTGGAGGAAATCAAAGGTCTGCATCCAATCTGACCCTGAGCCCGCCTGCTGGTTCATTCATTCTGTGTCACAGCTCCTCAAATGGGCACAGCCCTTGTGGCCTGCAACAATTTTGTGTATCCAAGTCGGGGCAGCATCACCCTGTAAGATTATTTCCAGCCCAGAACGTTCCCCTGAACCCCGGACCCGATGTATTCAACTTCCTGCTTGACGTTATTGGATATTAGTAAGCATCTCCACTCAGAGTATCCAGTACTCTACTCTGGGTTCCCCTTGCATCCTCCTCCCCCAGCCTTCCCCATCGCAGGCAAGGGGGCTTCCATTCTTCCCTTTGCTCAAGTCAAAACTTAGGGTCCTCTTTGGTGCCTCATTCTCTCTTGCTCTCCACATCCAGCCCCACAGTAAATCCTATCGGCTCTGTCCTTAAAAGGTAGTCAGCCCAGCTCTGCGTTTCTTGATCTGAGTGCTCGTGACAAGGATATGATCACTTTGTGAAAATTCATTGAGCTGTATGCTTGATGAGTTGTGTACTTTTCTGTTTGTTCTTTTCAATAAAAAGTTTTAAAAGTTGAAAAGACGCATCCAGAATCTACCCACTTTCCCCCTTCTTCCGTTGCCACCCCCTGCGTCCCAGCCACCAGCGCTTCTCCCTGTACTCTTAGAGCCAGTAGCCTTCCCCACCCCCCCCCC